TATGGCTGTTGTGATACACCTTAGAAACTTTTAATACGTGGCAGTTGATGGGGGCTCCTTTCATACCCTGAAATTTGGTAGGGTTGAAAATATATTTTGGTGAGAAAAAAATAACCTGAAGAATAACTTATTGCCACTGCTTCCATAGTTTCATGAGAGACAATAGAGAATAGGTGTGGACAAGAGATGTACCGGGGCCATTGTAAAGAAGTAACTTTGGATTTGAAATCAGTTGTCAGCACAGCCAAATATTTCTTGAGGGTGGGGAAGAAAAAAGGGTGGACTATGTGGGTGTGTTTGCATGTTTATTCACTTCTGTGCATCTTACCTTCTGTGAGCTCTAAGTGAATCTGAGCATTTAGGGCTTTCAGGACACAGTGACTACTGAGGAAAAGACGCAATGCAAAAAGATACTGGATATAGCTGAATAGAGATTTTAGTAAATGGAAAGATCAAATGCAGCTGTGATTCTTTTAAATACAGCTTACCTTTAGAAGTTAGAGACTACATTGCCTTCAAAGGCATAGTCTTTAGTGGGAAATATTTCTAAGAGTGGTAGGCTTGTACTAGTGTCTGCTATCTATGTTGCAAGCATGAGTGTAAATCAAATGCTAGCATTTCTACTTTATCATTAAAGTTTGCTCTGTTCACAGTGAAATCACTTGCTGTGGGGGCAAATCTGTATTGGGATATAGATTTTCTGTTGGAAATATACTGTGAAAAAAAAAAACCATGAAAATGTGCCAGAAAAAGGGGGAACAGCAGAAAAGGAAGGGATTCTGAAACCAGACAAATAATGTGGGGAGATGCTGTGAAATAGAAACTACTGTAAAAAAATGTTTAATATGCATGCTTCATTGAGAAAGCTGGATAAGAACAAGATTAAGAAGGCTGTCACCTTTTGGGGAGAGTTCTTAAAGGTAGAAATTGCCAAAAAAATATTTCCACAACAGGAAAATACCCAAGTCCTAAATTTCAGCCTCTTTGCTACTTCAGTATGTAAAAAGCTAAAACATTTCATAGCAAAATATATACATACATAAATCCAGTAGTGCAAACATGAAACATTGTGATACCTCTTTAAAAAAAATGTTGAAATAATGAAGTGAAGCATTTTGACCTTCTCTGACCCTAACTAAAAGGTTAACTTAAAAGTGACTGACTTCTCATTTCTCTAGCTCCAGGGTTCTCTCTTTGGGATTAGAATTCCCTGGATGGAAAGTAAAGGCATTAACATGGCACACATACTGGTAGTGATGCATCCTTGTTCTTGCTGGAGCAGTGGAAGATGCAGAGAAAAGGGTTGCAAAGGCTGCCTTTGTAACTGTCCCAATATAGAGAGGAGAGGTGGTTTTGAAGAGGAATCTGTTCCTAGAGTTGAATTCTTAGTTCTCTAAATTGCCTCCTGGCTAGGCTAAGTAAAGCAACCTAATTGTACTGAAATGAGCTTTTGTGAATGCTCTGACTGTGCCAGAATTTTTCAGATAATGTGACTTGTTCTGCAGTTGCAGTTAATCTTTACAGTCAGTGCAACACACCAGGAAAGTGTACGCCACAGTGTCAAAGCTGGAGACCAAACACTGTAGAGGTTACCTGTGCATGTCCAGTGGCATTTTGCATATTATTTCCAGGTGACAAACAGTTTAGCCAGAGCCACTGCTCACGGCTGGCTACTAGATAGCTTAAATCCCAAACACTGGCTGGAGTCCTCAGCTACCTGCTCAGGCCATGTTTTCAGCTGGGGGGTTTTTTTGGGAGGGAAGAAAAAGAAATGCATGGAAACAAATTCACCTGCCTCTGGTAAGCAACCAGAAGTTTGGGAGAATGCTAACGAACACAATCTGCCTCACCCCATTGATCTGCATGTCAGTCCTCAGATGTCCTTTTCCACTTTTGTGTCCACAAAAAGCTAATGTTGTAATTCAATTTTTACAACCTGTAAATTAGCAGTGATGAGTGAGCAGCCTTAAAGGAACTATTACACCCAAAAGGCACATGACCTGTTAGATTCTTCAACAGCACAATTGAACTTAGCTGAATTCATGTAACCACGACACAGGAAAAGCATCTATTCTCCTGTCTCAGGAGGTAGATACAAGCTTACTCTGTCTGCCACACTGTCCTCCCTTCTAGTTGCCTTGATGTTGCAGGATGTCCCTTGTCAAGACTTGCCTCGGGTCTTAACTGTTCAGTGCTCTGCTCTTTCCTGCTCTATTTCTCCTGGTAGCTTGGCTCGCTTTCCGACCTCTTTACATTCTGTTTGTGTGAACCCATTCATTGCCGCATGGGATGTCTAAATCCAACCATAATATATGGCCCTTCCGCCACTCGAATGACTCATAATCATGGGAAGTGTCTGTGTGTGTTCTGTCATTTTGGGTCTGCCCCCTGATGCTTGCAGTCTGACTTGCAGTTTACAAAAACACTGAAGTCAAATTAGCCATGTGCTAAGTTAATTCACTTGCATGCATTTGAAGATCAGGTTAAGATCAGTAGATTTCCTTTTTGCTTTTTTCTAGGCTAAGTTATGGTGGCATGTTTGCTCTGTGAGTGTTCTGTGAGATACTGCACCTACATCCCCACCCTTCTGTGTTTATAGCCCGGATAAGCTTAAACTAGGTCTGTGCACCAACTGGTTACTCTGCTATTAAAGATATATGTGAAATGGCTACATCTCCAGAATTTTGCCTGACTGCTTTTTGTCACTGTTCAGAACCAACTGACTTGAGCTGCTTTCCTCGACCACCATGTGGGAGCATTGCCTAGTTTTGTGCTGTTTTTCTCCTAAATTATTCTCTAGACATGTGGAGTGCTCAAATTTCCCCTCCATTATGAGTTTGCCATGTCCTTTCCAGCACTTGAAAACATAAGTACAGTGGAGTTGTGACAACTTGAGAGCCTGATGTGATTTCACACCACCGAAATAAGCACAGATGTGTCCACTTTGTCCTCTGCCTCAGAAATACCATACTTGCTGAACCTGCGCTGGTTGTGCATGTCCTAGAGTCTACCTTGCACAGTAGTATCTGCTGGTTCTTGCAAATCATGCTGCAAAATGTCTACAACAGCTTTGTTGCTTTGAAATTTTCTGTAAATAAAATAAATGTTCTTACCCCCAGTGCAAGTGCTCTACAAAAGAGTGGAGTTTTTGAGCACCCTTGTGCCGTTGTCTGCCTGAGCCACTGACATTATTCTAAGGCTATAGTGTTGGAAAGGCATTACTGATAAAATTAGCAGCTTCATCAGCATCAGATGGTTTTCCTCCATTGTGCCTGAAACTACTCCAGCTTCCGAATACTCCCCTACGTGTACAGGGAAGAGAGGACAGAGAGGAAATAAATTGTGAGGTGAGATCAAAGAGCAGATTTTATCTGCAGTGTGAGTACGGTGTAGGGGGAGATATGAGGCAAAATGCCTGAGAGTATTGCTATGCTGGAATAATGATCTGCAAAGGTTGTTAATTATTATGTTTCTATAACATCAGTGTGATCTCTTCTGTTCCAAAGCAGCAGAGTTACAAAACACAAAGAGAAAAATCCTCTTCAGATTAACTCAATGTGACCTCAGGTGGCTGTGCTTAAGATCGAATGACCGTATCCAGTGCAAAAGCACACAGGGCAGCACGGAACAGAAATTTGCTCTTCCCATAGCAAGATGAAAGGGAGGATGAAGGTTTAACTGTGAAATGGGAATGAAACAGGCTTTAGAGCCTTTCAGCTCCAAAAGAGCTTGGTTCTGGTCTCAGTTTCAGTGTCCTAACTCCAAGGATAAACATTAACTTGTATTAGGCAGTTGCTGAAAGAATTTGGAGAGCGGGAATAGGAAGTAAGGGCCCTAACCCCTTTTGGTAGCCAGCCTACCTCCCTGGGCTCCACAGCAAATCTGTCAGTGGTCCCAGATTTAACAGGATATAGGGTAGAAACCGGCGCGGTGTCCCCTCCCTCCCCAGAGCTCCTGGTGGGCAGGTGGTTAACACATTCCTGCGGGCTGCAATTCAAACAGTTTGAATGAAGAATTCGAGCTTTGCATGAAGAATTCTGGGTGAGTCGGCAGCTACCCACTCTCTACTCAAGAGGGACAGCACTACTACCTAAAAATTCAAGCTGAAGTCAGTGCTGTGGTTGTGTCCTAAGTATGGCTGGATGAGCCCTGCAGAGGATTCACCAATGCCAATGTAGCTGAAGCAGTAGGATCTTTTGTCACATCCAGGAAGCTGAGGGTCAGGTCCCCAGGAAAGCAGGGACATGTGAATTCACAAACAGTACCAGAAGGACGCACATCTAAAAGCTGTACCTAAAAATTCTACTTGGACTTCTAAAAACAATTTCTTACTTTTAGTACAGTAGAAAATACTTTATCTCTCTTAAAAATGTAATATATTACTTTCTCACATAAATAAATTCCCTTTTAAAAAGGGATACTTTATGTGGCTCTGTAGGAACCTATCGGTGCTTTGTTTCTACATTAAAAGAGTAATATTCCCATGTCAGTAATCTGTCGGTCAGCATATCTGATTTTGGGATATGTCCTGAAGGGTTTTCAGAGACATATGAGCTCATATGGAATGAGCTAGGAATAAACTGTAACTGAATTACGAGCGGGATTGTGGGATGCTGCTCACCTGTGACGCATCTGCGTGCTCAGATCGGTTTCTGTCAGCAAATCGCAAGTGCCAGCCCGACTCCCGAGCTGCGGGGCGATCTCCGCCCTCGGCACCTCTGAAGCGTTTCAGGCCAGGGAAACC